GTAAATTTAGCTACATTCCAGCTGTAGGGTCCTCTTTATAAAATTCCAACTGAAAAATTTCCAGCTGGAAACAGCTATTAAAACCAGCTGCATTCCAGTTGGAAAATTCCAGCTAAGAAACAACCCGTACCTACTATTTTCCAGCTCTTTGCCAGCTAGAAATGGTCCGAATTTACAGATTTAGTCCAGCTAGAATATTCCAGTTGGGATTTTAAACTGGGTTCCAAAATATAAAGTTCCACAATCCTTGTACAGTGTCTCAGGCTCAAAAACTTTTTGAAACAACAAAACTATTTGAACTCTATTTATTCAATTTTTTTTTAGGCAGTTTAGTCTCCTGGTTGTCGTGAAACCCATAAATATATAAGGGTGTACTTTTTTTCCGGGTACCCTGTATATATGTTTTGCATGTCTTACCCAATTTTGTCCCGTAATTATCATGAAATACTTTGCTTCTTGCAAGTGTTGCCTGAACAGGTCTTATGCTTGCACAACTGCTCCAAAATGGCTTTCCTACAGGCCTCATGGGCACCGGAAAAAAATTTTCAAGGAGTTATCTTGGTCACTAGTGAAAGAGTAGGAGGAAGCCTTCCGAGAGTGAAAGAGTAGGAGGAAGCCTTCCCAGGGCACTGGGAGGGTCGAAATTTTCCGGGAAGAATATTTCCCACTGCCCACCCACCCAGTTTAAAATCCCAACTGGAATATTCTAGCTGGACTAAATCTGTAAATTCGGACCATTTCCAGCTTGCAAAGAGCTGGAAAATAGTAGATCCCGGTTGGTTTATAGCTGGAGTTTTCCAACTGGAATGCAGCTGGTTTTAATAGCTATTACCAGCTGGAAATTTCCAGTTAGAATTTCATACAGAGGATCCGACAGCTGGAATACAGCAGAATTTACGACTGAAACTCAGTTGTTTCTGTTTCTGAACTTCCGACGAAAACATTCAACAAAAAGATTCTCATTCAGCTAGTGATATTGCAACTAGGAACCAATCTGAATCTGACTACTTTCCAGCTGCTACCCAGTTGGTATGGGTCCGAATTTACAGCTGGGATCCAGCTGGAAATTATAGCTGTTTCCAGCCGGGATTTTAAGCTGGGCAGCCTGAGGCCTCATCGTCCATTCTTGCGTCCAGGCAACTCAAAGAGGCACCTAGCGGCTGAGTGAAGAGGATACAGATCCACCCCAGGCTATAACCCTCAGAAAAGCACTCTGTCTTGGGAGAAGTCGATCTGATAACAATCTGGAGAGGAATCTCAATCTGGCTAGAAATGCACGAAGAAGCAAAACGACGGCTTTTCTCACGACCTGTGGTCGAAACCAGGGCCAGCCTTAGGGGAGGGCGACATGGGCGACCACCCACGTCAGGGGGCGCCGATGTGTTTACCGTTCACGAGAATGCTGATCTCGCTCTATTAAAACTGTAACTCAGACTTCCTGTTAAAAGAAAGTCGAAATATAAATTCGTATTCCTTTAACCTTCGTTATGACCGCACACAAAAACACGGAGGCGGGGAAGGGGGGTCAAAAATCAAAGCTTGCCCAGGGCGCCATTTCCATTAAGGCCGGCCCTATCTGAAACGAAGAGTCCAAGGACGCTCATCAGGTAGTCCCAAAGAGAACTTCACCTTCATCACTTTTTCTGAGACGTGATGTTTAAAACTGAAAAAAACCAATGTGTGATCCAACACGAGGAAATGGAGTACGGGTAGAGTAAAGGGCCTCTTTTGTCTTTTGTCTTGGTTTTCTTTTCGGCGATGGAAAGTGGGAGCCTCAAGGCGTGTTTAAAAGGGGAAGGACCTCTAACGCATGCCGTTAATTATCCTAGTGATATTTTATTTCAAGACAGTCCCCTAGTAACCTGGCTTCCTCACGCTACGAGTTTTTTTTTTTTCTTTCGAGTATGTAAGGAACTTAGCCCTATATTTATTTTCGTCGCCCACAGTGAAGAGGATTGGAAAAGAAAAGGCTTAAGCCTGAATGCTGAAACATCCTTTAGATAAAGGTCCTTTAAAGAATGCATGGACTCCTATGAGAGAAAAGGAGCTCTTTAGCTTGATGGCCCCTCTACCTCCCTTGATGAAGTTTGTCCATTCGGGCCTCATTTTTTCAAATGACGGACAAAATCCAGGGTTATCGTCAGCTCCGACTTGCCTTTCAAAAAAAGACGATTCCCGAAAATCGGAAGGATCGGGAATTACGACTCTGCAAAGGTTAATGGCAATTTCACGAGTAGGTCAGGAAGGAATGTAAGGATCATCGACTCCCCTCCGATTACCCGAGGGGTATGTGACTCCATGTGACCCCAGGGCAAGGCGAAGTGAACCGGACAAAATGACCCCGGACATAATGGTCCCAAATGCAATGAAGGACATAATGGCCCCACACACCAGAAAACCAGCTTATTTGAATAAGGATTAATTTTTCCCTCTCAGATATTTTTATGCTGTTCAAATTATTAAAGTCTATTAAAATAGTTATAATTCATTAACACAATTTATTCAACTAATGCAATTTTTCTTGACCCATCCCACCCTATTTACCTCTGATCCAATCAGCACTTCCCAGTCAAAAAGTCAAACATCCCATCTTGTTTACCCTTTAATCCTCTGATCCTCCAATCAGCACTAGCAGCACCCAACCGCTTTCATTGATGACTATCTTCTGACTTTCACTTTTACTGCAGCTACATTTGTATAAAAGAGCAATTTCCCTCTATTCAAATATTCATACGTTTACGGACTACAGAAAAAGGAAGGAAGATCTGTTATTCTCCTGTGGAATAGGTGATTGTGTGCATGGTAAGTATTTTATATTTTATCGTCCTGTTATACCTAAGTGGCAGCATTACTTGCCGAAATATATCTTATTCATCTTGAGTGTGTATTATTGGTTTGAATACGGTCAAACAACACAATTTTGCAAGAAACGGCAGGGAATCCCCCCAAGAAGAGGCAGAAGCGGGTATACAAGGAAATGCAGCAGAGGCTGAGAACACTTTGCGCACAGTAAGGAGAGGGATTTAAATCCTTGGAGGAGGTCCTGCATGGAGTTGGTCATGCCATCCGATTTTAGTATTTGTTGTACTTAAAAAAAAATTGCATCCATTACATAATTTTTTTAAATGAGCTATAATTATTGTAATAGATTAGTAATTTCATTTAATGATTACAGCAACTTTGGAGTTTACAATTATACATCCGACAGAATTTGAACAGCACATCAACATATGTGAAGGAAAAATTAATCCTAATTCAAAGAAGCTGGTTTTCTGGCGTGTGGGGCCATTATGTCCTACATTGCATTTGGGACCATTATGTCCGGGGCCGTTTCGTCCGGGGCCGTTTTGTCCTACACTCGCATACATGCATGTGGGGCATAGTTTATCTCAGACAGGCGTTTTGTGGTACTACAGTAGTTGATGGCATGGAAAGCGAAGTCTCACTAAGTATGATTTGTAAAAAAGAGCGAGCTGCGATTCGACACAAGGACACAAAGCATTTCCTCCTTCTGCATAGCGTTCCCCGAGGTCGCTTTTATATTAGCTGCATTTGACCCAGACATGCTCACAATTAGACGTGGCATTGTTCTTCAACTAGAAACACTTTTTAGGGACCGTTACTTTCTTTCATGAAGTGGAATAGTGACATGTTCACTCCCTTGCGTTCCTCCTATCAGGTCTCATGAGTTACAATGTTTACCAAAAATCTAATTAGAATTTGGCCCTCGTATATTTGAGTAATCCATATTTTTTTCATCAAACATGCAAAAAAAAATATTCTCCTTAACACGATACATATTGCATGAAGATAAATTGCATATATCCTTTCCGCAGTAGTTTGCACCGAGGAAACGAAAAAAAATCAGGTGAAACGCAACGGTGGAAGTGTCGTTTTCGCTTTGGAGGCCAAGACGTAAAGGTATTCTTTGTAGCTTCCCAAGAACTTGGATGCAAAAAATGATACCGATTAAGAGCAAAAGCCATCTCGTGTCAGGACGCATTATGTGCCATAGAGAGCAGTTCGCACGCACAGCAAGAACACGGGCGTGGAGGTGGTACGCCTCCGCCGGGATAAACCAGGGCGATCGTTTCTGGAACGTCGAGTATGTGGAGCGCGTGCGGGCGAGCGTGAAGAGGGAAGATTTGGACTTTCAGGTTTCGACTTTCCCGGCAAGCGATCGTTTGTTTTAGAAAGTCTGCACCAGAGGAAGTCAGCCAACCATTAAATAAATCTCCAAAAATTTTTAAGGACAATAAGCTCAACTGGAGCCAGAGCCCGCATCGGTCTGGCGCTCCTCGTACGACTTGAGAACGTTTTTCCAGAGCTGCGCGAGTCGTTCGACGGGGCACTCGTGCCAGAACCGCCGAAGGAGTTCCCAGCCCCGCGCAGCCCAGGTGAGGACGTAGGTGTTGCTCGGGTGAAGGTGATGCGTGTAGGCACCGATGACCAGGACCTGGCTCAGGCGACCTGCAATCAAGGCTCTGACCTTTAGTGAAAACAGCTCTTTTCGAAAAATAAAAATTAGAGATAGGTCTGTTCTTGAGTGTCCTAGTCTGATGATGGAAAATAAAATTAATACCTTAGTGATATTTTCTACTTTTTAAGGTTAAGTTGCGGAACTTGGAATATCCTTTATTGCAACGAAAAATGTTTTCATATTAGAGTGCTAATTCGTGTTTTTATTTTTAAATTATCAATCAAAGTTCCTGGTCACTACACAGTTTTACACGATTTTACTTTATTTAATAATAAATTCAGGTATGCAAGGAAATATCCTGGATAAAGGTTCTGGGTCATATCTGTAAGTTTAGACCTAAGAGAGTCCTGAATCCGATTACCCGCTATGCCAAGACGTATCAAGCCCCACTGTTCTTCAGGAAACATCTTCTTCTTCCTCGCATAACCCGCCAGAACATGGCCCCCTGTTCAACAATACATTTTTTTATTTAAAAAACTAACAAAAATTCGAATCGGTAGGGATTCCCCACCGACCTGTCTCCAGCGGGTCCATGCACTTGCACTCGATCATGAGGTGGGTGATGGCCACGGCCAGGTCGAGGAGGTAGACGGAATGCTGGGTGTCCCCCAAGTCCAGGACGGCGTCCACGTGGTACTCCCCATCCTCCCCCTTCCTCAGGAGGATGTTCTGGTCGTTGACGTCCCCATGCATCATCCCTGGAGGGGGGGGAGAGAAATGCAACAGGATTGCCATAATCAATTCGAGTGAGACGTTGCACTCCTGACAGATGAGACTTGGAATTTGCGGAAACTTAATTTTCCTGCGGCTCGAGAACATTACGGTTGATTTTAGGCAGAGAAGTTCAACTGATGTATCACTCCTTAGTGTGATGTGGTGTTCGCGAAGAGAAGATCTACGTCTAAATTGCCTAAAATGAATTGATTCCCGGTATTTCCGATGTCCTCCTGGCAATTGCAAACGTGGTCCAAGGACCATGGGGCAGAAGCGGCGCGATTCAGACTTAATTGGAAGGTCACTGCATCTGCTTCAAGCTGCTGCATGGTATTTAATTTTTTTGACGTGGTAGAGAGAAGTGAGAAGATGAAAGTTCCAACAGGCTCCCTTGTTCGAATATGATGCGAATCGCGATAATATCCTGCGTAAAGCACGGGGAGGAAAGTTTATTTCTGCATATATTGCATATGGTTTGTTTAGATCGCACATTCATCGCGTCTGCGTCTTCTTCCGTTATCTCATCACATGTAATTTTCGATACTCGCAGCGTTAAAAATAACGTTCGTGAAAAGTTTCTCGAATTCCCAACCGAAATCGAATTCCATTCACATCGCATGATAAAGAAAGTTTAAAGAAAAATCTGACCTTGCTCAAGTTGCATCATCTCGGGCTTGCTCCTCTCGAAGGCGTCCAAGACGTCCCGGACGGTCTCCACCTGCCAGTCCTCTTTCAGGACGAACACGTACCGCTCGATGACGTCCAGGTACTCCAAGGACCAGATGTTCCGCCGGATCCGGAAGACGGGGTCGTCGTAGTCCTCCATGGCGATCTGGAGGTCGGCCAGGAACTCCCCGATCTCGTGGAAGAGGGCGGGGGTGCTGGGGACGTCGTAGAAGATCGTCCCTGGTACGTAGGTGAACAGGCGGACCATGTACTGCTTCCCTTCACTTTGACCTTTACCGTCTTGACCTTCATTTTCTTCCACGAGGCTCCATTGCGTGCCGTCGCATCGGATGGGGCAAAGGAATCGGCCTTCCTTGTCTGGCATCGGCCGAGACGTCTTGATGCCTCGGTCCAGAAGGTGGAAATAAAGGGTGTTCTGGGCCGAGGCGAAGCGAGAAGACTGGCTCTGGCGGCTGTTCAGCACCTGCAATACGTCGGTGGAGCTCATTCCTACACGTTGCAGCTCCTACATTAAGAGCCACGCAGGAGCCACGCCTTTCTTATTTGCTAGTTTTTTTTTTCATGATTTGAACGATGAAGAGTTGTAAAACTGATGATTTATATCATGGAGTAGTTTCAAGAAACAGTCGGCTGAAGCCCACTTGCTGAGGTCCAGTCCTATTCCCGGACAAAGTAGCCTAGAGATGTTCGCTTGCCCCTTTGAGAGGACGGGGATGCGAATATATCAATAGGCGTTCCTGCTGCACACTTCCGAAAGTCATTCCACGCGTTTCAGGCCGATAACGGGAACTGAGCGACTTCCACAGGCCTCAACGCGCACGAACGTCCCATCTGTGAGCATCTTCGACTCAGCGATACGCGGCTGTGGTACAACCTGGCTAACACGAAAATCCCTCCAATTTTAACGTGAGTCGCTTCTCGTTTAATTTCCCACCTTTTTATAACTACCGGTACTATTATTAAATTGGTTGGCATTAGGTGTTTTGGGGTTTTCAGACATACCCTAGTTCGCTAGAGAGAAATCGAATATGCCCCATGAATAGACGTCGCAGGCTGGCATGGGCTGTCTTGAAACTTGTGAAGCTCTTCCTTCCTTCTCGTAGTGGAAATACCCGTCATGAAGCAAAAACATTCCCGCTATCCAAGTAAGTTTTAAGTATTAGTTCTCTCCTCAACGCAATTGAATTGTCGGCACTGATTCCTCTTTCTCAAAAGGAATTCGTTCTCGCGAAGGCACGTGGAGTGTGAGTTCTCCCATTGCATGGGTAAACCATATTTGCTGGGGGAAAAAAGGGTCTGCAAGTGTCAGTGTGACATCATCGGAATTTCCACGTGAATCACATCTGTTTCGTTCGACAATCTGGGAATATGGATTGGCTGGAAAACGTACATGTTCGAAAGATTGATTGTCGAGTGAAGCGTGTGGTGTTAGTGATGGAGTTAAAAATGTGATCCACGGGGAGTAAATGAGGCCATGAGAAATGTTACATTTTCGTCTAATAACTGCAGACAATGGATGAGAAACTTATTATAATTGGCATGCCAATCAAGGAAAGAAATTCCCTTCTCGCGAAGCACAATAGCAAGTACGGAAAACACCCCAAGCAGCACAGATCGTTGCACCGACGTTGCACCAACGTAATTTGACGTCCATTTGAGCCCTGAAGTGCATTTTGGAAAAACTGAAAGGCTATTGGCTGGTGATCTTTCTCGTGGATATCGCTAAACGTCCCAGATGACATGTTATGATGGCCCAACGTTTTGTAAAGGCGAACGCCCCTCGTACTATAAGGAGTACAGTCAGAGGCAGAACAACGTCCGTAGTGTCCGATGTCTAGGACATCGTAAGGATGCAATTCATCAAGAATATCGACAGGAATTTTCATGTCCAAAGCACGTGGCAGTGACGTCGCACAGACGTCACAGAAAATAGGAATGCGACGTATACATTTTGGGTCATAGTGAGGCCACCGCGACGATCATGACGCCGAGACGACGTCGCAGTGGTCGCAAAATCACATTGCAGCCACGTTGCATGGACGTCATGTGCTGCTTGGAACTTCTCTACATTCCTCTCAGCCGTAAAACAACGCAGTTATTCCAGAAAGGGTCTATGGATGTTGGGGGGGGGGGGGGGGGTTAGAGAAATCGAAGTTCTTTGCAGGCAAATTCTGATATTGGCTGATTTCAAAACGGCAGTTCAGTTGCAGTTCGGTTCTACAGTAGTTTCAGTTCAGACTTTGCCCTGATTGAACTGCCGCTGCAATGCGACTGGACTGCAGTTTTAATGTCGAATACCGCGGAGCCAGCTGCCCAAGGTTGACTCGACGGTCCCCTATCCTCCCACAGATGGTTTATTTATTTATGTATTTATTTATTTACGTATAATTTATAAATGGGTCTATGCATTTTTGAATAGGCCGGGATTTGCGGCACCTCTCGTTAATAATGCGAAGCTGTACTCAGTTCATGTCAGACATAACGTTAATGACAGAACAGATAAGATCTCATGTTCTTGGGATGGATGTAACCTTGAGACCGGCCTGCCCTGGCGCATTCCACAGCGCGTTCCATTTTTTATACAGCACTCCTTTACTATATCCATGGGATAGAGATATCCTGGACTCTGAGTGATTCACGGCAGAAATCAATCTGTCAGAGACAGGATTTCGCTGGCTTTACTTCAAATGAGAAATGAATGTCTCTGAGAGTTTTCCCGAGTAAATGTGTGATGTTTATTTCGAATTCATAAGTGAATATACTGCCGCTCTATCACACAAGGAAAGAGATCTTTCGGAGCCGGAATGGAAACTCGCTCCTCAGAATAGTTAAAATCCAACTTGTTTTAGTATTCCTCATTCCGCAGAGTATTGGTCCTGCAGTCACGATCCCATCTTTACTCCGTGAGGGAATTCGAAAGACTGACCTTGAGCACGTACTCTTCCCCACCGGGGACCCGGACATAAAAGTTGCGATCGTCGAAGCTGTTCAGCTCCTGCAACTCTCCGCTGAAACCGTAGAGCCGACCCAGGATGTCCCTTGCGAGCTCGCATCCCACTGGGGGTTTGATCACTTCCCCCGGCTCCAGCACGTTGTCCAAGTCGCTCATCCTTCACTACCTGCCCGAGTACAAGAGGCGTATGGGGTTGAAGGGACGGAGGATAGCGACTGAAGGATAGAGGAAGGAGGATAGAGACTGTAGAATCAAGGCTGTCCTCTATCAGGATCAGATGGCAGGCGATAGGATTTACGACTGGGCCACGTGTTTCACCACGTGTTTCTCGTCTCTCTTCGCGCTTGCCTCATATCGAATTTTCTTATGCAGGTCCCGCCAACATCTCCTTCCTAGGCGCTTTATTTCTGCCCTTCCTTTCCTTCAATGTCCGAGAGCCGACTGTTCGAATGAGCTCACATTCCAATCTGTTCTAGATCATTCCAAGCAGCCTCTTCCCCTAAGTGCATTTGAACTTGAATAAGAGAAGCTGGTAAAATTTACAATAGAAGGAGGTTGCATTGAGTTTCTTCCTCTTGTTAGTTTTTCACCGAGCAGCAAAAAATTCTTGCGAGAAGGAAATAATCCTTGGAAATTAATATTATCCTTGGAAATAATCCTAGGAAATTAATGGTAAGGTCATAGTACGTGCTGGACTGCGAACGTGAAATATATCCCGAAGGTATGAACCGTTCAAATATAAATTCTGAACTACAGTAAGCGAATCGACTCCAATCGCCTCACATGTACCAGGGATTTAGGGCTAACGAATTTCTGGTTTAGGTGCACATCGTGGCGTTGCGAAACGAGATGCAAAATCTTGCGACTTCCTCCGAGGCCAAATCGGTAAGGTCCCGGGAATAATTTCCTATTTGACTGTATTTATCGTGATTGACGAAGTCTTTCCTAACGTCGGCGATCACCGTCGAATCCCTTAACTTATTTTCCCGCTTGGAATTAATAAATTTTCACATTTTCATTTCGAGTGAGAGGGAATGAAGTTCATTTGGGTTCAAAGCTCGCCCAAAGCCTCAAAAGAAAAGAACCAGGGTCGGAGCCTTCGAGTACCAGCGAAAGGAAAAAGTGCCTGAAGGACCCTGGTTGCCCTCAGAGGAATGGGACTGGAGGTTGCCCTCAGAAGGAAGGGAATGAGAGGATGTGCTCACTCCGCCGGATCACGGATGTCAGTTGCACGTTGGCAACTTGCTTATTTGACATGGTGAAGGGCATTCGTTTTGAGGTTTGGGAAACTCGCAGCGCGGACTGTCTCTCATGCTCGCCGATTCCCTGCATCGGTGAATTGCGGGAATAAATAAGGATACAAAGTAAAATAAAATACTAGTAATATGAATGGGGAAAAAAATCCAGAAATGAACACACATGGTCAAAGCAAGAAACGTGACAAACCTATCTTTTTTTTTTTAGTATGTCTTCTTGAAAATAAAGACACCGACAAAGTTCGTTTTAAGCGAAATTCGTGCCCAAAGCAAACATTTTTATTTCCAAATTTGAATATTTAAAATTGTTTCGGCGGGAAAGGCGGACATCCTCAATGAGCATGCGCAGTGCTTGCCTGGATCAGTGCGTAAATTCTGTGCATTTTTTTTCGGATTGAATTCCTACAACATCTGCCCCTCATAGGAGCAGTCGATTGCAGGTGGCGACGACTTCCACAAGGGGGATTTTTGGATCTTCTGACGAAGCATTTCTTTTTCTCCTGGGCTCAAGGGGCGCAGAGTTACAAATTCGATCCGGAAACAGTGCGGGAAATTTCGAATCCCATTCATCGACAATATAATATAAATTTCACCGTCGATCCTCCACCTAGCGGACAGGCCTTCAGTAACTCCTCTATGGCCAAGCAGCGGATTCGACGAGACACTTGTGTTTGATTGAGAACTCGCAATGGGTCGAATCCCGATTCCGCTGCCAGAAAGCACCAAAGCCATAGGCGTTGTTGACGAGAGACCCAGATGTTTCTGTAATAATTAGAACCGCCCCCCCCCCCCCCCAAACTCTCAGGGTGTCCCTTTCCTTCCAGCTGATGGATCCATTTTGGACAAGCGGGGAATAGGTTGCTGGTTGAACTCGTGCTCTGCCGTGTTTGGCGATGGAGCGTGTCGAAGGGCAGGGGGTGCCAAATTGGCGAGCCGCCAGTCCATTTCGTTCGGCCCGCGAATTCTTCTTCGGCAGTTTGTGATGGGAAAGCGATGCCAAATTTCAAAATTAAAATTTTAATTTATGCTAAATAAATGTAAATTTGTTTATATCGCTCCCGGCCCTGAGAGATTCTATCCGGCTCAATTGTTCGCAGCGATTTGGCAATTGAGTTTTACACCACTGTCGTTGAAGGACGAGAGAAGAGGGGAGGTGTGGAGATCCTAGAATGCATTGCCCTGGAAGTATTGCACAAATTGCCCCGAACAACAGCCACTGTCATCAGCTCTCTCGGCTCGTGCATTGCTTTTCGTCGAACTTGGCCAGTTGATGAAAATATAATATATTTTTTTTTTAAGCTCCGCGTGGTGAGAAGTGTCGTGAGTTGACGCCAATCCCTGCAGGCGAAACAGAGCAGAGGCAAATTGTGTCTCCGGGGAACATGGAAGGTCATTCACGAGAGAGGGATGTCAGACGAGAGCGGTCACGAGAGAGGGATGTCTGATTTGAGTGGTCGCAAGTAGACGCGGGACGATGTTCGCAATCCGCGACGACATGCCAGGGCGGCATGAAGAGGCAAGAGAGAAAGAGAGAGAGAGAACGAGAGAGAGAGAGAGAGAGGAGAGAGAAAGCAGCTTAGCAGTGTTTAATGGGTTGGCGGTGTTCCTTTGCGCTTCCCGCGCCGAAGCCTTGCAGTAGTCCTCTCGGACAAACGGGTAAACATCCTTGAAATTTCGGGAAGATCGTGCCGATGCGATTTCGATTCGCGAGCTTTCACGTTGCACTCGAGGTCGCCGCGGATTTTCGTCGCCGTCCGACTCCATAACGACTGCCGAGTCGCGCGTTCGAGGTCGACCCGCCGAACATAAACAGACCGAGACAGCCCAGCTCCCCCGTATTGCACTTCATTACCAAACACCAAAAGAGAATGAGAACCCAGAGCCACCTCCCTCCCTCATCCGGGAAACCTCCGGATGAACTCCATCGCCTCCTCGACATCCTCCTTCGACCCCAGAAACACCGGCGTCCTCTGATGGATCCCCGTCGGCGTCAACTCCAAGATCGGCCGCATCCCGTCGGTCGCCCTCCCCCCCGCCTGCTCCACGATGAACGACACCGGGTTCATCTCGTACATGAGCCTCAGCTTCCCCTCCGGGCAGTCTCGGGTCCTCGGGTACATGAACACTCCCCCGTACTTGAGCGTCCGGTGCACGTCCGCCACCATCGACCCGATGTACCGGTACGGCTTCCCCCCGTCCTTCTTGCTCTTCACGTACTCGCGCACGCCCTCGCTCCACGTCGCCTCGTTCCCGTGGTTTATCGAGTAGATGCTTCCTCGTTCCTTGATTCGCATGTTCGGGTCCGTCAGCACGAACTCGCCGATCCCTGGGTCCAGCATGAACCCGTTCACGCCTTGCCCGGTCGTGATCACCATCATCGTCGCCGAGCCGTAGAGGGCGTACCCGGCTGCCACCATCTGTCGGCCTGCAAATTCCGAATTTCAGGAGTTAAAAAAAAATGAATAAAATATAATAAAATAGAATTGTTATCGATCCTCAAATTTCCAAAACTTGAGCACGAAAATTCTAACCAATTCCCGGTTAACACAGGCAGCATTTGTACTTCGCTCAAGGAAGTAGAATTTCCCCCACACTTCAATGCACACATCCGGATCCGCATATTTGAATTAATTAAAAAAAATTACTAAATTATAAATAAATTTATAAAACTAAATTTAAATACAAATGTTACATTTTAATTGTAACATATAGAATAAATCCGCCTCGACCGCCCATAACGGACGCGTGCCCCACCTGGCTGCAGCGCCTCGGCCTCCGCCACCTCGCCCTCGCCCCCCTCCGGCCTCCTCCACACCCCGAAGACCGACCCGATCGGGGCGAGGCAGTCGATGTTGGACGAGCCGTCCAGCGGGTCGAAGCTGACGATGTACTTCCCCTGCCGCTCCGCCTCCACCGGGATGGCCGTGTCGTTCTCCTCCGAGACGAGGAGGCAGGTCGTGTAGGAGGAGCGGAGGAGGTTGATGAACAGCTCGTTCGCGAGGACGTCCAGCTTCTTCACCTGGGAGAAAGACTTCCTTTTCATAATTTTTTTTTTTGTGAAAAGGAATGCGGTTTGATTAAGTTTGTCTTGAAATGCTGCGATGTTACATTAAATGTTTTTAAATATCTAAATATTTAAAATATTGTACGTGTTTCATTTATAATTTTATTCGTGGCGGGATTCCAGAAGAGTAAATTCTCTCTTTGACGTGCCGCAGCGGGACGAAAGGGGTAACCGCCTTCTTCCTCATCGGTAGAAGGCGGTGCATCGGCCCGAAGGCCCCTCCTCCCCCTTCGTGCCAGCTTGGGATTTTTTCATCGGAATTCTAAATGTTATACCAAATCTGATCCTAAACCGAGAATTCGTTTGAAAAAATGACAAATTACAAAAAATGACAAAAAAATGACAAAAAAATAATTATTGTGCCGAAGGTCATCCAGAAATTGCGCGCCGTGCCTCTTCCAACTTCGCTAAGGTTTCGCCCGTTCGATCTGATAATTCCCTATCAGCCAAATCTCCTTTTCCTGAAAAGTTCTCTGCCATTATTTTCCCTCGAAATCGGATCACGTGACCAAATTTTTTTTTTCCCTTTAAGTATGGGGTAAGCACTTCCCACGAGCGGTCGGTTGGAATTACTCCGTGCGAACGAGGTTTCCCAACGCATGGAAAAAAAAAAAATCTTCGACCGTTCCGAAGAAATTCCCGACACTTGGTTCTTTCACATTCCAGATTTTGATGCACACGATTAAAATATATATTTAAAAAAAATATTTTTTTTTGTTGAAAAATAATGTACGTCAATATATAAAATAAAGTAGTAACGCCACGTATGAATAATAAATATAATAAATAATATGAGCATAAATATTAAAAATATATGTGAGATACAGACCTCCTCGCCCTGAACGTTGGTCGACCCGGTCATCCCAAAGAGCTGGACGATCCCGGCCTTCCTCACGGCATGGCTGATGGACTTCACGGCGGCCTGGATGGAGTTGAGCAGCTGGGTGAGGTCGCCGGTGGCGCCGGGGACCTTCCGCTGCTCGGCCAGGACGAAGCGGGTCAGGGTCATGCAGTCGGTGTCGAGTTCCTTGCCTTCTTCGCTCTCCATTGCGATGGGGGGATGTTTCAAGTCCGCTGTGAGGGTGTTTCGAGTCAGCTGGTGACGTTTGAAGTCCTCTATGAGGATGTTTGAAGTCCGCTATTGGGGTGTTTGAATTTCACTATGTGGATGTTTGACCTCCACTCGTGACGAATGCTCGCTCTACTCACTATGTGAGCGCTTCCACTCGCTATGGGGATGCACGGCCTTCGCGACGGGGATCGATGGAGCCTGGAATGCACGAGAGAGCGTGTGTAGCGTAGTCGCTTCGGGAGGGCGGGCCCCGGGGAGGGCGGACCTAATCGTCGCGGCCTTGACGCGTCCCCCCCTCGGGGCATGTCGGGGAGATAAGGAGGCTCCCGGGGCACAATCGCATTCCTCTTGAGTTTTCCGGGGAGGCGAAGCGACGCCTCAATATCGGTCTGGTTTTTATTATGCGAGGCGATGTGCAAGTAATTTAATGTAATTTATTTAATTTTTAAGATAAATCGCTGCTCTCGCATGCATATTAATTCGCAGGATCGAAGTCAGACGGATTAGGGGATCATGCCATGCCGGATGAAGTCGAGAATGCAATTTTAATAAAAATTCGCTTCGTTTTTTGATTCGATTTGAAATATTTGAGTCGATTCGATTTCGGACTCTCGTGTTAGATTTTCGGCGAATTATCGTTCGCGTTGCTCATTGAGGGCTGCTGGGTCCTTTTTTGCGACAACCTGCGACTACAAGCGCATAGGCGGCGATTCGAGGGGGGGCTCGAGCCCCGCCCCCCCCCCCCAAAAAAAAAACAGTTTCTTAGAACAATAAGATGATTAATGGAGCCGATAGACCTTCGGCTTGGCTCCGTGACAACGAGTTGAAAGGGAAAGCGCTTTCACCTTGAAGGCAAATTTGTGGATTCCATCCGGCGGCTCGGTCGCTGGTTTCTTCCTTTCTTCGTCGTCGGTGGGATTTGCTCTGGGAATGTCGGCTTCGAGGAAACTGTCGGCGAGAGGGAGAAATCCCAACAACCCTGAAAATGTGGCAGTTTCAATCAGAATCTTCCCTTAACCTAATTAATGAAGGGATTATTAATGACATTAAGAGAATTTTAATTTAAGAGGATCCCATTGGTGGAAGGGGCAAACATGTTTATAAGTGTTGGATTCGATTAATTGGAAGAGCTTTGGAACGGTTTTTCCGCTCGTGAGAAGACCGAGTGTCACATGCACGAAGTTCCATGCATGAAGTTCCATGCACTGTTTTCAAGGGTGAACGCGATGGGTGAAATCGGTGGGTCTCCTTCGCGCCAGAAGAACATCAGAGATTATTTTCGTTACTTCGAAGTTAATCGGACGATAAGGATTAGCGATTAGCTATCCGTGGTCACGAAGACGGTGAAGGAAACTTCTTTCGGATGCTGAAAATGAGGTGATTGCGAAAAACTGAAGGGCATCGTCGCGGCAAACGGTTGAGCGAGGATGAGATTCTCCAAATTGAGGCTGATGAGGTCGTGCAAATAGGAATATCTGCAAAAAAGAATATTTGCAAAAAGGAATATCTGAGGTTCATTCATCGCTGTGTTGATCGGCGAAGAGAAAGATGGCCCTCATTCCGAGCAACTCGGCATTTGCTTGTGACCTGGATATGAGCGAGTCTTTCGAGGCATTTTATGAAGCGGACTTGGGAATTCTCTTCTTCGTAGTGAAGGATGCGTTGCTGAGGTTTCACTGAAAATCACTGATTCAGAAGAAAGCCTAATCCCTCTGAGGAGGGGGGCTTGGGTTAGGGACAGCAAGGACAAGAGTACGAGAAGTAGTTGCGAAGGAGTACTTAGTCGCCGAGCCCCCCCACAGAAAATTTCTCAAGAAATAACCGCCTATGCACAAGCGATTCCAGATGCTTTAGCAAAGGCAAATGAGAAATTTTTTTTAAAACAAAGCCGTTACCGACGTTAAGCAGTGATCGAGTGGTCCGCCGGTAGTCAAAATTTCAGGTAGAAGTTTCATTTACGTCAAAAATACCTCTGAGACTCCGAGAATGAAAAATGAAGTAACAGTAAAGTAACAGTAGGAAGTAACAGGGGATAACGCGAAAATGAATGGGGCACATCGGGTGGGAGGGGGAAAAAAAAGACAAACGGGAAAACAAAAGAAAGCTGCTATAATAGCAAGAGGCTGAATTTCTCGTTTTTTCTTTCCACATGGGCAAAAAAAGATTGGAGCGGATATCAGGAAGAATAGGGGTTGCACTTACTTTTCTGGTAATAATAGGGTATTTTTCTCTGCCTTTCTTGCCGTGGTCGATGCACTTCCGAATCCCACGCTTGGGAGATGTCTTCATTTCTTTTCTATGCCGAAGGCAGGGGAGGGGGATGTATCAAATCGAAACAGACTATTAGTAACCGGTTACACGGCTAACCGTTGCGACTCCTAGTTTAATCAGTTCAATTGGGAAATCACAAGGCTCCTAAGAGCTAATTATCGTGATTCTCGACGCTCAACAGTGAAAGGAAAAGATGGTAATCTGGAGATATGGAATACAAAAATCGATGTTTATTACAGAGATAAATGCACTGAGTTGACTAAGAGCACAGTAGAAACATTTTGCGCATAGAAGAATGTCATAGGACAATAACCCGCTCTTAAATCGCAGTGAGCTCAAGTAGTGGGTCCCCAATTTGGTCGCCAGAGAGTCAAAGACACGCTGAAAGGGAGATCATGACTTTCCATCAAGGAGGAATATCTGACTAAACATCAAAGAAAGTCATTTTCCTAGATTCGATGACTTGGATAATACCCACACAAAGGGAATGTAAGCCCTACCTAGCCCTCAGAGTGGAGTCCCTAGGAGGACGTAAATTCCCCTTCGTGGAAACTCGAGAGACAGTTCTCACAGAGGAGCCTCTCCAATAGGTTACAGTAGTACACTGTAGATATAGAGCAATAAGTAATAGAGAGCCAAATTGATATATTAATGACTCCTAAGCTCCCAATCTTTAGTGCGAGATTCTCGAGTTGAACTGTCAAACCACATGGCCTCATCGAACTTCGCCTCCTGGGAAGAGCCCGAGAACTCGCCAAAACTAAGCTATAGACGAGAGGACTAGAGGCATTCCATCTCTGCTCTCAATGCCTGAGATGGTCGGTACGATGGTAGTGAGACTGCTGGTTGACCAGAGACGGATGGATCGGGGGAGGGAAGCATCTCACATGCTCCACGGGCAGTGCCTCGGCATCGCTTGCGCTCGTCTTTAGGTATTTGTTCAGGATGGCAAAGATCTGGGAATTGAGAACCTGGAACCTTCGGATGCGATCGCACATTTTCTTCAACGGCTGAAATGCGGAGCATAAAGTCATTGAGTCGTGTGCAAAGAGAAGGGAAGCAGAGACCATGGACGAACACTGACACTAACAATGCCCTTGCTGCTGTCGTCCTTGTTGTCAGCTCGTTGGACCTTGAGGAGATGGTAACAGAAATCAAGGGATTCAAATCGTCTCTGCTGGCCCAGGAGGACAATGATGGTGCAGCCAGCCCAGTGCAAGCCCTCTCCAAACAGCTGCCTGGAAATGCCAGGGAATGAAATGCTTACTCTTAAGGCTTTGTTTGTTCCTAAGAAACACATTGCCTTCTCAACATTTAATTATGCAGGGGAGGGTGCACAAAGGAACAGGAAAGAAAAGACATCAAGATCCTGGCAAAGGGGAAATCATAGAGAGGGAATGCAGTAATTCATATGAGTTATCATTAGAGTCCTTACTCAACAGTGAATTCGTTCTCTCCAACAGGGATGCAGTATACAAACTGGAGGGCGGACCAGAGACGATGGAACTCGAGGCATTCATCAACATGCATGACTCCATTGACTGGTGGTGGCCCTGTCCAAATTGGGTCACCCAGGAAGCCCTTGATCCGGTTGAGGATCATCTCAAAGATGCTCAGGCCACAGCAAAGCCTCTCTCTGGTCAACAGATCTCCTTCTCGGGCAATCAGTGCTTGCTGAATTGACATAAACAGAGATTAAGTAGAAATACAGATGCAGAATCTCAAAGAAAAAATTAGTATTGCAAGATGAACATTACCTGAGGAGTGCCTAGCTTCTCAATATTTGGCACTATCTGGAGAGGAGCATATTTGGCTTCTAGTTTCTTCTGCTTCACTTCAAGCTTCTCTTGTTGATCTAACAGAATTTAAGTAACAATGCAACATGGGCTGGAATGGTGTCTTGGAAGGTGAGAGACGTGTTGCACACTCACCTTTGCAGAAGGGCCTTGGCAAGATGTTTTGAAAGGGAGCAGCATGGAGGAGATCACACACTTCCTCTTGCGACAGAGCTTGTTCGATTAGGAGGCAAAACAGGATTGCATTCCCCATCTCTCGGAAGAAGTGAAACAGTTCTGTTCTGGCATCTGGATACTGGATCACATCTGTCAGCTGTGCCTGGTAAAATGCTAATACACCTGGACAGAACAAGAGTGAAAAAAAAAGGATAAGTTCACCCAATTTCAAATTGAAGGTGGAAGTAGACAACTGACATCTAATTCATTCTATTTGCCAGAGGAGGCCAATACCTGAGGATGTGTAGTCATAAAGGGGGAGCTTGCACTGTTTCGGGAGGACCTTCAAAACAGTATGTGTGAATTGGAGGATGTTGCCCTGGATGAGATTTTGGACAATTTTGAGGAGCTCTTCCATGACCACTGCAATACCCTGGTAGCCCAGAAGCCGACAGACAGCTCGAAAGTGCGGTGTACCCACAAACCCTGCATCAACAACACATACAATTGGTCTCTCAATGCAAGATTGACTAAAATACATTCTGTTGTGTTCCCAAAATCCACCATATGCCAGTAAAAAGAGAAGCAATAGTACTTCAGTGTTTTATTATATTTTTTTAGCAAAGTGAAATGATCCTAGAGCTACGAGAGCTGTCCTACTTGGAGGAAAGTCATCTGTGTGATTATTCTTTCTGTAATCAGAAAACAGGAACACCTAGCCAATTTCACATGACTGGGAAAATATGGCTTGAATATCTTTGGCATCAAATGAGAACTTTCTCAGTGAGTTAAACAAGACCATTGTGAAAGTACAACACACCAGAAAATCGATTGTAGATGGATGCATAGGCAATGTTGAGGGCTTTGGTACCCCACACATACTGGTGGGTCACTTGGGGCTGCTTGTCTCGATGGACACTCTGAGAGAACAGGATGTCACGGCTCTTCACAAAGCTAAAGTGAGATATAAAAAAGGAAGACAATAAAAGCAAAGAAAGCCTCCAGAGTGAAACCTGGAAAGGTGAAGCAAGCAGACCGATTGGTGGCAGCATTGTAGCAATAATTGGGCAGGAAGTCATAGTTGAGCTCCCAGAAGACGTGAAGGGTGATGCGTCCATAAGGAGCGAGGACGTTGTGATTTGCCTCCTGCAGCATGGCATGAAAGTCATCCAAGGCCAAATGCTTGCTAAGTAGTTTGTGGCACAGCTTATTGCACTGCATGAGAGCTTCCAGTTCCTGCCAGGAATAAGACAAATCAAACTGAATTTCATTCAAATCATAACGGGACCGAGCAGAGACCAAGACGCACCACAATCCCAGTGAGATCGCCACTCTCAAAGCGTGAGATGGCAACATCAAGGCACTTCTGAAGGGAGACATTGATGCGTTGTGTGATGAGGCGGTTCAGGTCGATGGAACGACCCAGGAGCTGCACGTGTCGCTGTGACATGAGGGTCTCGTATCGATTTGCTTTTGGCCACGAGATCTCTGTGCCCAGGTTGGCACACTCCACTCGAAACCTCTTGTCCAAGAGGATGCTGATGTAGACAAAACAAAAATTTCTGTCATGGCACATACACTATCAGGTGCATCCCAGTTAAAATTGAAAGGTATTCAGAAGTCCCATTTTCACTTCAGTAACTCTCATCCATGTTGATAGCTTTGATGGAGGGCAACATGGCTCATAAGATAACATTTTTTCTTGAGTTTTGGAACAGAGAAGTACATATAGCAGAACTTGTATTGAAAATTAGGAATACATTTAATACTTTTGTGATTACACATTGCATCTGTTTCCTAGAAAGGGTAGAAACTCTGAATGGAGTGTTAGTGTCTCTTCATGCTGAATTACAGTACCTCAAGAATAAAAACAAAAATGTACAAATTTCAGGAAGAAGTCTTACCTGGCAGCAAGGTGCTTGTAGTACATGAAAATCTGCTCACTGAGCTTGTAGACAAACTGGTCAAAGCAGAGGTTCACCTCAGCCTCGATCTCATCATAAAGGAACTGCTTTCGGAACTTTGTCAGGGCATAGTGGGCACTGTCGTTGTAAAGGTCCAATGGGTATAGGACGCACCTTTCAGGAAACAAACCATCACACTGATAATCTTGTGTGAAGATATAAACATCCTTAATAATGACAAACACTCACTCCATCATGGAGGCATCCTTAGTCTTCAAGATGTGGTCTGTTAAGATCCAGGGTGTGGACATTTCGATTGGGAACTGCAAGAGGAATCAAGAAATAAATAAAATTCTGGAAGACTTTCTCTAAGCAAAGATCAACAACATAATAATTTTTTCCAAAATTACAGCTATGAGCTATGCATAAGTCATGCAACTAATTCTTAGTCATTTATAGCAGGTGGGCTAGCACATATTACTCATACACTGAGAGCACTTTCCATAGAACTTCAGCAAACAGTAAATTTCTTGGGTGCAGCAGAGCAGAATAGGTAAATTGCTTTGGAAAGCAACTCCTCTATGGGCATCAGCCCCACATAAAAAACCAACTATTTGCTCCCAATCACACAGAACAATAAAGAAAAACAGACAACTAAACAACAAAAATGCTATAGCGCCCCCAGTTCCTAAACTTTGAGAATGGATTGTTGATAGTTAGAAGCCTGAGCAGAGGCATAAGGGGGTCTCACTCACTTGTATCCTCCTCCCCATTGTCATTTCCAGGTAGAACTCTCGATACCAGAGCTGGGATAGATCACAGCACTGCTGCAAGGAATCTGAAAAAAAAAAAATAAAGTTCATAAACTAATAGTTCACACCACAGTATTGCCACATAGAGTGAAATACTGGTAAATACAACTTGGTTATTTGTTCTTGATAATGCTATGCTGACCTATTTTAGTCCATGTGCAATCTTATTGGCAGGGACACCCCCCTCAGTACTCTCTGGTCTTTTTCCATTAAGAGGCATGCTTAGATAGTAGGTAGAATGCCAGATGCATCATAAATTGCAATTTGAATCTCATAACCTCTATATGAATCTACAAAATATTTTTTAATTCAATGATTTAGGGGAAATCTTCCCATTCAAGAAAGTTGCAGACTGGCAAAACAAGGAAATACGTTTATTGGTTGTCACAATACGTGAAATACAGGGGATGTCTAATTTCAACTCTTAGTTTCAACAGTCCCATTCTTCATAGACAACAACTGGGATAGTGTGAATACTGACAAATTTATAATCTAGATCAAAGTGGAACCATGTTTTTGCCATGCAAGAGCACTTACTTTCTCAGATTGACCATGAGTATACAAAATATCCATTAATAAAAACTCATATTTTTCCAGAATGACATTAATTTGATTTTGTACTGATGGTATGAACTTGCTTTCCCCTTTAAAATACTTGATCTGGAATAATGATCCCAAGTGCTTCATAGTAATGAAGATTTCAAACTGACTGCCTTTATTTGTATACTCACTGGAAACATTTATCTGTTATTATCTTTGAGAAGCTTCACACATGTGATCAATGTGTGAAGCTTCCCAAAGATGAATGAAGAGCAATGGGGCATTGGTGTTGATTAAAGTGCACCGAGTCACTCCAAAATTTAATTAACACAAATTTTCATGTTTTACAAGTGCAGATTACCTGTGAAGTTGAGGAGATAATTCCAGAAGAAGCTCTGCTTGTGGAAGTGCTCAATGGCAATGAGGGTGCTGCCATCTATGTCTTTCCTCATTGTCCGCTTCCCTCCAGACTTGTCTGCTATCAGGGACTCCAACATCGTTCTCACCATGTATAGCTGTGTGGATGATGGTCCTGGAAGCAAGGTTCATCTCATTGCTGATGAATCATAAATGATCAGTCTAACCATAAAACCCCTTTCAACTATGGAGGAAATATGATCTGATGGTGCTTTTGTACCTTAGCCATGACAAGACATAGCTCAGACATGACATTTCTCAAAGCACTGAAGCTAGGGATCACTTTGGAATATACATTCTAAATATTTGTTCTGACACTCCTCAGTTCTTCAATAGTTGATGAATCACCAGTACTTGGTAAGGATATGTTGGATTATCTTCCTGAAACCAAAGTTGAAAAATTTTGCATGTAAAAAAAAAAAAATGTACAGAGGTGCAATCCTCAGGAATTTGTTTCTTTAAAAGACAAGGAAAGTAGTGGATCATTCACTGAATAGTTTCCAGATCAAAAAGAACCTCTCTCACATCAAAACTCAACCACAGTGGATATTACATTTGGATGGATGGCCCATGCAGTAGTGGGTAGTAAAAAAAATGCTGTAATACAGAAAAATTTGCAATTCTCTTTGATGAAGGGAAAAACAGACATCATGATATTGGCAAACTTAATGTGAGAATTCCCATTAGACATGACTGAAGTCAGTAAGCTCTCCAAATGGAATATACCATGACACCATAGTAGCAAAAATATTTCAGTTCCTTACCAACAGTCCGTCGAGGGAACCGAATTTCAAATCCTCCCTCAGGGTCCTTCTTGCCCTTCAGTGCTGGGTCATCAGCTGCCTCAATTCCATTGATCCAGTCAGCACAAGTCTCTTTAACGGAAATAATGATGCTACGAATTAGGTCCTTCTTGTTCTTGATGGCCTTCCGCAGTGGGTCCCTGAGGGTGGACTGAACGAAGGTTTGGAGTTCCGTGTAGAGGTGTCTGCGGATGGCATCAGCGAAGAAGTTCTCCATCTTGGCCATGAGAACTTGCAAGCCCTTGATCATTGCTATGACCTCGATCAGTCCATACTTCTCCTCTGAGATGTAGTTGTATCGAGTGGCCTGGAAACATATATGTCAGTTGTCTGGATTAAATCCATTCAGATATTTCTTGTTCATACAATATGATTTCTTAGTTGCTATCGCCTATGGTAGGGGTGGGCAATTATTTTGGCTAAAGGGCCACTTCATGAATTTTGATGAGCTTCGAGGGCCGCAAGCGTACGTAAAGAGGCAATAGCATAAAAATAGCTCAATCTAAAGTCTTACACTTTTATTTATTCACATATCGATGAGAATGTGAGAAATTCACTCAATGGGAAGAATGAAGGCGCTGATGTGCATTAACCAGGGAATCAGGAATCATTGAAATCAGGCATCATCTCAGTTGCTGCAATGCGAAGCACTGCTGATAGGTGGTCATCGGTCATCGCAGATCTATGTTTTGGTTTATTGAGTTTCATAACAGAAAATGTCTGCTCACATATGTATGTCGATCCAAATAGCACGAGCATCTTCCGGGCATGAGCTTTAACTCTTGGAAAGGTCTGTTCATTGAGGGAGGCATAAAAATTAGGAAGCGGCACTGATTTGAATTGCTCTGCAAGCAGTGCATCGCATTGCAGGTCGATTAGCTCGAGTTGGAGGTCAAATGGGGCTTTGTCAACATCAAAGGAGAAAGGTGAGGAGACGAAAGACAGGTCATTTTCGATCACTTTGAAGTCCTCGAATCAGCGAGAAAATTCAGCATGCAAGTCGAGCAGGGACGACGTGTACTTTTTCAGGTTTTGATCACAAACAGTAATCTGCTGCAAAGTGGGAAAGTGGGGGAACTGTTTCATTCCTATCTGATGGGAGAAAAGGAGTAATTTCGTCATAAATGACTTGACACAGGAATACAAATCATGAGCAAAAAGCCCCTTCCCTTGCAGTTTTGAATTCAGTTCGTTCATGTGCCCCATGATATCAACGGCAAATGCAAAATCAGAGAGCCAATCCACATCATTCAGCTGTGGGAAATCCGAATCTTTTCCTTTCATTTCCAAAACCAAAGCAATCTCTGCTCTCAATTCCCACACTCTTTTCAAAACTATTCCCAAACTAAGCCATCTTACATTGCTGTGAAAGAGGACATCCGTGTGCTCGGATTCAAATTCCTCGAGCAGAGTTAAAAATTGCCTGTGGTTTAATCCTCTCGCTCGAATGTAGTTGACCACATTCGTAACTGTGTCCACAACATTGCTTAGTTTTAGAACACTCTTACAGAGGACCTCTTGGTGTATAATGCAGTGAAGAAAAATAATATTATGTTCTGGATTTGTTTCCTTGACTTGATCTTGAATTCTTTTCAACAACCCAACATTTTTTCCTGTCAGATTTGGGCTTCCATCGGTGGTCACACTCGCCAATTTTTTCCATTCCACTCTTAAGTTCGAGATGCACCGATTTACTGCCTCCAAAAGGTCTTCTCCAGTTGTCGTTTCTTTCATTGACTGCATTGATGCTAACTCTTCAGTGAGCTCGAAATTTTCGGTGATCCCCCGAATAAAAATCATCAACTGGGCCGTGTCTTTGACATCACAACTCTCATCGAGTGCCAGTGCGAAATATGAGAAATTGCTTACTTTGCTTTTCAACTGCAGGTGCAGGTTCTCGGAGATATCCTCGACACGTCTCACAATAGTACGCCTTGACAAGCTGATGCTCTCAAACTGCTTTTTCTTGTCTGGGCACAGAATCACGGCGGAGTGAATCATACATTCCTTTATAAATTCTCCTTTGGAGAATGGCTTGCTGCTCTTGGCGATTTTGCGTGCAATCACGTAGCTCACTCTCGTAATCCCATCCTGGGACGCCGATTGTTTTGTGAAAATGCTTTGTTCTTTTTGCATTCGAGCAACCATTTCATCAGCTTTCTTTGCCCTTTCTTCAGCAGAAAAGTTCGTATATTTGCTTGCATGTTTGCTCGCAAAATGGCGATTCAAATTGTATTCTTTGAACACTGCCACACTTTCGTTACAAATTAAGCACACAGCTTTTCCACCCACGTCGGTAAAAAAATATTTAGAAGTCCATTCTTTGTTGAATATTCGGCATTCAGTGTCCACTTTCCTCTTCTTTGATGAGCTCATTTCCGAATTCACACACACTATTCGCGGATGATATAAATACCACAATTCGCAAATTGTTGCACAAAAAATGCGAGTCGGTTTGCAGTGTAAGTCTTCAGTCTTGTTCTCACGTGTCGCTGTCAAATTCCTTCACTCATTACCATCCCAGTCTCACCCTCTCAGTCTCCCCCTCTACGCTAAACCATGACTTGCGTCAGGTCACAGAGGTCACATCAGATGCGGCGAGCCGAAGAGTGGCCTTGCTGCTATGCCAAACCCCGCACAAATACCCGAGAGGGACGCCTTTTTTCCCTCGTATCTGCTGTATCTGCCCTATGTTCTTAAAGCCTGTCACAGCTAGGCAGGAGACTCGACAGAGCCGTAAAAAGGGTCACCAGGTCGGACTTTTTTCTGAGAAGTCGCATGCTGAGTGATCTGTATCTTGGGTTGATCCACCCCCTCCCTAGCTTTAAGAAAATTGCCACTGAATCCGTCCTCAGGCTGTGGGTGTGGATGACATTTAGAGGAGAGGAAAGGAAGGGGAAGAGGACCTATTTATGACAAACGAGCTAGCTCAGCAGCTGTGCGGATTAAAACTGGCCCTTTCTGGAACTAAAAGAACAAACATTTTTCCTTTTGCTAGACATAATGGCGGGCCGGATGAAATCAATTGGCGGGCCGGATACGGCCCGTGGGCCGTATTTTGCCCACCCCTGGCCTATGGGAATGGTGTTGGGCTTACTAAAGATTTATCACTGCCAGAAAATGCAACTGGCATTATCATGAGGAAGAGTGAACAAGAGTGGCCTCTTAGTGGAATCTGGTGACCATTAGGTCAATTCCAATACTTAAATTCTGCCTTGCTCATGAGTTATGTCCCACACTCTCTTTGCTATTCTATTGAAAAACACTGAAATGCATGCCTATATTAGTGAATATTATCCTCTCTAGACAATACTGCCATATGGGATGTTGCCAAAACCAGCTTTGCCAACTTCCCACTTGAAAATTAATGGGCCAGACACATAGGGATTGCTCTCAAGAGCAGGAATCATTGCACATCTGACTAATGAGCAAATATGCAATTTTGAAAATTGTCAGGACAAGAATTTACTTGTTTCAGACTAATGAACAATTGAAGAATCTCCACATTTGGGCCAATGCACGCGCTCTGATGCACTCCTTACTGAATTACTTGTTCTGTGTGAAGGAAGTAAATTAAAATACAAAAAAAAAATTGTCAAGAATGGAACCATCCAGTCAGACTTAAAAAAATAAGCACAAGAGGCCATAAAAGCCATAAAAAATTGTTCCTCTTCAGTTTTATATTTCATAACATTACATTTTCCCCAAGGTATACTAACCAAAAGCTTATGGGTGCAAGCTGGGTTTTACATTTGCATAATATATTAATTAAAATACTCTGCACAAAAAGGATATATCTCAGTTTTTGTCAGCAGTACAGTAAATTGTTAGAAATAAACTGGAATCATACAATTGGTTGGGACTCACCCGTTCATATTCCTCAGCATCTGCAGGACATTCCTTGTTTTGATGGTGATCGGTCGGGTGAAGGAGCTTCCAAGAGACTAGTTCCATGACAATGGATGTCCAGTGTGATAAAAGCTGCAAGCCCCTCAAAGCCAAGTCGGATATCTCCTTCGTCTCGGAATCCGTGCGAGGGGTGTCCTTGTACGTTGTCATTATCTGTCATGACACAGAAAAATATGTGGAAGTCTATGGGAATACATGCTGATTGATGAATCAAGGTCTAAACTGCCTCATGGTTTGTCAAGCAAATAATGAATGGTGTTAATCTCAGGCTCCAGGTCCAGCCATACATTCACCAACTTGCCTCATACTTCATTGATATCATTATCATCATACTTCATTGATACTTCAACATATCATGCTCTAACTTTTCACAACATTTGAGGTTTATTGAATCAAGCCCACCTCATTAGAGTATCGGGACAACTCGCTGATGTACTTCACGTGATCATCTCGTATCTGTGGAATTAGGATCAAGAGGTTTGATTGTGGGCTGGGCTGGTTTGCATTGCTCAATGGCCATCTGCTGCCATCAAAGTAGGGACTCCTTTTCACATAATTGAATGGTGCAATCTGCATGTCCCCAAACAATGGCACCACCTCCAATATCTATTTAGGTTGAAAAGGAAACACCCATGAATTTAGGCATATAGGGAGCAAAGACCACAGTCTTCAGTAACAATACTCTTGGAGCTTGGGGTCACTTCAAATAGCAACCCTAACTTAGTCAGTGAGGGCAAACTACCTTAAATATTTTGTCGATGCGGTCAAGCCTCAGTTTCTTCTTCTGATCCAATTTATAGATGCTGCAAGCCTCACGGTCCATAAGAAAGAGAGCAAAACCTATCACCTTGACTAACATGTGCTTCTCACTTGGAGACAAGAACATCTTTGTCTCGTACATCTGGAATACAAGATAATCTCTTCTCAAAAATCTGAGGATAAAGGCATGAAGCCAACTGAAAGAAGCCTTGATAGTACTGTACTTGGACACAGATGTTGACAACTTCAGCAAGTAAATCATCATATGCTGGAATGGTCTCAAGATTCTTCTTCAGTTCGTCGCGAATCTTGTTCTGCGTAGCCAAAAACATGGAGAGGTTCTGAGACTCTTGCAGGGCTGCTGAGTCTGACATCACCTTCAAAAATTGTGCAGCTCTGGAGGGAACAGATAGAAAAGGCATAACATTTTGTAGGTCCTCTGAGATTATATGGGAATATTCAGGTTCAGTGGTAATTATCATAGGTCTTCCTGTATGTTATCAGCAGCTGCCATGAGAAAATAGGACACAATAGGCTCAATAGCATACCGCAGAGATGTAGTGATACTTAATCTGTCTGAGGACATCCATAGATATAAAAGAAATTCCATGTTGACTGCTTGAATATTTGAGCCTCTGTTATCAGATAAGGACTGGGCATGGGACTCTTGAGGCGACACTGGAGCAAGCTGATGAATGAATGAAAAATAAAATACTAATATCTTATCTCTCTGGTGTCCTTCACATATGGCTTCTTGGCAAGATATTCTATCATTGAGGTTTATTTATGTTCAATATATCCCTCTCTCCCTTCTCAATCGGTGTTCAGAGCAGAAAGAAATTGGAAGGAGAGTGAAAAGAGAAGAAAAAGTCTGGTTACTTAGAAACAGACTATAGGATATGCTACCATGTGGGCTTTCTGTTGCCAATAAAACATCTTCAACCTGGTTCTAGGTGATTTCCCCAGCTAGAGGGCAAAAAAATGAGGGGGGGTGGAGATCTTAAAGGTCAGGCAGTTATCAATGGATGGAGTGACTTAGTACCTGAAATTTCCTAACCATCACCAATGAATACACAGCACTGCACTTATGCTAAGACACGAGCAGATTCGCAAATTCAAGATGCTGCGATCAATTTCTACATCACATTGAATAAATTCAGACCTGTTTGGTGATAACTTTTTCAAGGGAGAGCACTAATCTGCATACCTTCTATATGTTGAATAGTCATTCTTGACACTTGACTTCATGTTTTTGAGCTCATCCAAAACGGCAAACATATTGATGAATTTCCCCAGAGTGAGCAGGTATGCCTCAGAGACGAAGTCCTTCCTTTTCTCCTGATGGCACAATCGCTTCATTTCTGCACAGAACTTCTCGCTTGCCTTTTTCTGCAAGAAAATAATAAGATAGAAGATGGGAAAGAAGAAATTCAGTTGAATTATCATGAGAGCATTTTCTTTTGGCTCACCTGGAAATACATGAATGTGAGGAGTTTATTGACTTCTGGTGCAAGAACTTCCACTGTTTTTTCATAGATCTCAACTCGGTTGGGCTGTTCGTTTGATTTAGGCTGGGGGATGGCTCTTGAGCAGCATCTCCATGTGTATAGCATCACAGCATGTTTATGCCCTTCCTCGAGCATTTCATTCTATCGAGTACGAAGGACAATGAATGATTGCCGTTCACATGATTGGGGTGATAATACCCCTTTTATATTCTATAATGAGTTGCATGCTGACACTTCCTCACCAGATCAGCATGGACTGTAGCCTCCTCAATGTACTTTGCCACCCCAGTAATGAAGGCATTCCTATCTTCAAAATTGGTGTCAAAATTAGCCTTGTAGGTGACAGAGCATTGCTGGGCTTCGATGCAAGGCTGCTGGTCGGGCAAGGGCATCTCGTCGAGTACGTCGACATTGGATATCGCATCTTGGAGAGTGACTTTCTCGTTAGTCATCTCGGAATCTGAAACAGCCTCTGAATAAAGGGAGATGAGGGGAGGATGAGTCTTTGTCAATTCAGCCTAACAATGAATGGAGCCAAGCTAATTTAGGTTGACTAGGCCCAGGTGAAATATGCAAATAATGGACCAGATTCTGTAAAGGGCAAGACACTACCATCGAGATTTCAGAGAAAGGTTTAATTTGGTCTTTAGTCTGTTGGGTGGTATTTCAGTCAAGTGGAAAGGGGTCTAGACCAGGATTTAAAAAAAAATACCTGAAACAGTAGACAAATGGTCAAAACCCTGAAATGCAAGTTCTTAGCATAAAACGTATGCTTATATTTTTCCAGTTGAGCTGAAAAACTCCAGTGTTAGCATCTGCTTTGGCAGAACTGGAAATTTCTTATGCAGGCGGGAATACAACGTTATGAAGACCCATGAGTGAGGACGAGGTCGGGTGTTAAACAAGTGAAGCGGGGAAAAAACATGAAGAAGATAAGAATGAGTGAGGCAAATGGGAGACAATCCTTCACATCCTCTTAACCTGCCATGGAACTCAAAAAGATCTGGCTAGTAAAAGGCTAATTTATACAAGCCTATATCCCATCCCCTGAAATAGCTTTTTGGGCTCACTGGCTTCTCTTCGCGAGCGGGCGTTTCAAGGATCGGCCTCGGCCAGCTTTCACCTGGCTCCGTCGGCGGCGTGGCTCAGCGAAAAAATGTTAGAACGAGCGGGGTTTCTCAGAACAGGCGTAACTTGCCATAAAAACGCGCGTCTCGCGAAAAGCAGGGGTGAATGTCACCGTAACGTCATCCTTCACCACATCCGCTTGGGCCAACCGAACTATTTCCTGTCGCGAATCGTTCGCTGAAAATTTCGGAGTTTGCATCCAACAAGCAACACAGGCCCAAAACTAAACGAATTTCACACTTCCGTGCGTCACGGAGTCATCACGTGCAAAGTCAAAGCCTACAGGTTGTACTTAATGGAAATTAACCCCTGCATGTATTGTATTTCACAAGGACGCCATATTATCGTCGGCTTATATTCCCGCCACTCCCGACATCTTCCAGTCCCGCACGAAACCAAGCATCTCTCGCAGCTTCTCTCGAGAGAACGCCAGTCGCACGCGCGCGTCCCTCCAGGCTCCTCTCGCCCACTCGCTGCTGATGTGACCCGAGCATCGCATTCATCGAGACGAGGAATTTCTTCTTGAGGGTCGACGACGCATCCGAAATGTTCGTCGTTCATGCTCGTCTTATTCGTTGAGGATGATTTCTTTTTTTCTTCTGCGGCTGCGAAACTCAAAACACTCAGATACGAAAATCTGCCGAATGCTTTTTGCTCAGCAAATCGAATAAAAAATAATGGAGATAATCGAATGAAATGAAAGAAGGCGGGTCTGCGGATCGTCTGAGCTGGCGACGGTTCGACATCGCGTTCAAAATGGCTCATATTCCTTATCTCCCTTATCAGCGGCATGGGCTTTAACTGAGTTTTGTGGTGAGGGTGAGGCCTGCTTCACCTAGAGGAGACGACTGTCGAAAGCTGTGGAAACTGCATTTTCGTCTCTCTTTACTTCTGTTCTTATGCTGTCGGTCAGAGAAATCCCAGGTGATTTCTGAACGAATGACGATGCTGTCGCTCTCACGACTTGAATGGTAACCGCCACCCATTCTTATCTGCTCAGAGTGCAAACTCGTATTTTCTGTCGACGACTGGGACGCCCCCTCGCAAGCGCGTCAAACGGGGCTCTTTGTTGAAGGACCGCGGGAAGGACCGCGGGTAGCTCCGCGGGCATTTCTGCGTGATGGGCTGGAAACCCCTGAAAGTTTAAACCGGACTCGATCGGGAAGATGAGCGTGTCGGATGATTGAACTCGCACTGGCCGACGACGCGATTTGACGATTCACGAGTCAACTGCATTCCCATAAGTCGAACGGACTCGTCGTTTTCAGAGGAGGATGGCTCCGCGGGTCAAGCGGGGGCAGCCATCTCGAAATCTGGCGCGCACTTCGCTTCCTCGTTCTTCGCGACGTTACGCCTTCGGGAGGGACTGATTATTCGAATTTCGCACGATAACTCCCAGAGTGTTGTCAACATGGACCAGCTGGGTAATCGGCCACGATTCCGGTTTGAACTTCTTTACCTTTGCTCAACCGCGCCAAAATCACTCGTGTGGGTGTAAATAGCTCGCTATTGGTTTCATACGTATTAATGAGTGACTTGTGCCGCTGACCCGATCCGTCTACTCCGATTGAATTATATTTCTCTGAAGTGAAAGCCCAAATGTAGGAATCAGAATCATCTCTCATTCTAGGTTCGCTCTGTAAAATTTTATGAATGAAATTTCGGACGCAAAAGATATGATGACATCCAAGGCACACGACTGTAAGTGGACGAAGGTGCTTCCTGGGAATTGCACAGACCTTTAGCCTTTTGTGTCTTTCTTTTACGCGGTCAAAATTAACCCTTAAAATGGGTAAGGTATAGTGAAGCACGTCAGCCGATTTCCCAATTTCTCGTTGTTTTTTTTTTTAAGCGGAGGGGGAGGGGTGAATGATAAGGCTGTTTTCCCAGCAAAAATGGTCTATAATACCGTGGGTAGGCTTATTGTGATATATTTCTGGTGTCTTACCTCCCGGATGAGGTAGGCCGACCCGACGAGTTTCGGTTCGCTTGCGAGCTTTCGAAACTTGTGGAGGTTCCTTGTAGTGTGGGAGTTGTTGGGATGCGAAGGAAGACGATGAAGATGCCATGGAAATTGACATTGACATTGACATTGACATAGTCGGAGAGGGGGGAGCCGAGGAGTCGATGGAAGCGTAGGTCGGGGAAGGGGATGGAGGGAGGAGGGCGAGGGAGAGGGAGAGGGATTTCGGGGACGGGGGAGGGGGGAGGGTGGTTCGGAAGGATCGCCAAGAGAACGAAGACTTGCGGGACATCCTTGTATCCAGCGTGGATGGGGGTGGGGGTATGGAGACTTTCCTGGACCGTCTGTCCAGGGACTGGGTGTTGCAGAAGTGGGGTGGAGGCGGGAAGGGAATGGAGACTTTTCTCCCTCCTTCGGTGGGCGTCGGCGGCGGGGGTAGTAAGTCATCTTCCTCCCGCGGTTCGGGTGGGGGCGGAGGCGGGGGATCGTCGCCGTCCAGCGACTCGTAGACGGGGCGAAACTCCTCGTTCACCGCCTCCACGATCTGCGACCGATCCATGCTCCTTCGATCCACTGCACGCTTCACTTCGACTGGTCGAGGCAGGGGTAACGCCGGCACTCACGAAGGCACAGTGCTTCCCCGCTCGCGTTTTCCTCCTCCGTATCAGCTCCGAGGCAATGCTGTGGGGGGTATCATGCACTAGGCGCCATTCGCGAGATAACGAGCCCTTCCTCGATGCATGCCTCCCGCTCCGTCGAGGCTGTGTACTGAGGGGAGGAAGTTCTCCATTACGAGATTAAGATAGCCGGGAACCACGATGTGGCTGGGTCGCCGGGCTCTAATACTCTCGCCCTCAGCAAACGTCGTTGAGTCACGCGATTAATCCAAATAAAAGAGTTCTATGCGAAGAAAAAATCGAGATCCGTTCGTTTTTAAAAGGGGAACGATGCGATGGATCGACCGATTTGCCTCCGAAACAACGTGAACAACACATTATTCCTGTTTGTTTGGCGCTGGGTCAAAGAGACTTTGGAAAATTAGGAAATTATATATATTTTTTGGCTTTCAGAAGGTGAGTCCAGTTCCCTCCTCTCCACGAGGATAAACAGAGGTAATTCAAGATAAAGGCTATATTTTTCGCTCGTGAGGCCCTAACCATAGCTCGCGCTCGGTAAAAAAAAAAAAAATAATAAAAAGCCGCTGGATCCTGCCCTCATGGAATACCGATTCCGCTCAATCTTTCGGCCTTCAATCTTCTCTTCCGCCGGAATGAACTGATTTCGATATTCTGACACTATCAGATCAGACTACATCTGATCTTTCCTAGTGAGGTCCTCTATTCATTGATTCAGCCTATTCATTCATCGCCCCCGTCTTTGGTGGGGAGGCCGGCTGGTGACGAGATTTTTTTCAATCCATACGTGTCGTCTGTGAGCAGGATACGGGTCGGATGTTCCCGGTGATGAGCCAACAACCTCACGATAGCGCCTTATTAGGTCATCGACCGTATCAGTGATAGACGGTACTCGACGTAACATGGCTCGTGGAAGCCGTAGTCGTGAATTGGACGACGGTCGACAAATGGTCCGATAACTTGGCGCTGATTCACCGCGCAGCGTCGCTCGAGGCGAACGTGAGCGGAAATTTCCCGCTGAAAGGCCTGACTCGGAGTTGGCTCAGTCAGGTTGCTTCGTTTTTTTGGCACGTGATCCAACACGCGAAAATTCTGCACATGGGCATCCACGAGTTTTGTCCGTCAGCATTTGGATCGCATGGCCATCGCTTTTACTGATCTGGCTCGCGCAGTGTGAACCTTTTTTTTCTTTCAAATTTGAGAATTGAACGGAATCGTTCGAGAACATCGACAACGGCGAATTCAGCCGGAACGGGCGGTCGCCACGAAACCCGGCGTGCACAGTGCCCTCCCCTTCGCTCCCCTGCGCTCGCGCCGGGACGAGAGGGAGGGCGCTCCCCACGCCGGCGGCATTCGAGCCCAGGGCAGGAACGCCATAAACGCCTTCTACGGCTATCGGCCTCTTAAAAATGCTTTTCTCGCTTCTCCGAGATGCATCGACTCTCCTAAAGGAAAAAAAAAGCTGATAAATCGCTTCTCGAGCCGGCTTCCCAAGGCGCTTTCGTCTCGTCGCTTTTCGCCGTTGCGTCGCGTTTCGCGGCTCTTGCTTGCTTCTGTTTCGCGCGTCGGAGACTTTCTGGCGTCTGCAACTTATTCGGTCGTCCTTTGGCAAGGAAATTTGTCGGTTTGGAGGATTAACTGAAACGTAATTTCGAGCCAGCAAAGAAGCTCAGAAAACGGAATGATCCCCGGAATCCGGCAACACTGGAAGGCTCGAAAAAAAAAACGCGGATCGGCTGACTCGGATCGCGACGTCATGCTGACCCGCGCACGGAAGGGGATCGAGGATTCGCAATCGAGTCAGAGAATGAAATTGCTCGTTTCTCATTCCCAGTTCTCACTTTCTTCTCGAGTCCTCGCGAGAATGCAGACTCCAGAAACCCCGTTGGGTTTCCGACATTTCAATACGATTTTGAAGATGGAACAGAAACGGCCACGAGTCAAACGGGATCTCCGCGAAATATCCTAAAAAAAAAAACTGAATTGGAATCGCAGGAATTCGACCTGATGACGAGGCTGAAATTCCGCGTCGGCCGTTATGCGAGTGTTTCAACGAGTGACCCGGTCTGCATTTTAAGGAACGCCGCCAGAACGATGAAATGGCGGTCTCAGAGGGCTGTGGGCAACGTCGGCAATTATTCCAGGCGTATATCGAATGACCTAAGTCGAGGAAAAATCGTCGGCTGATGTTGATGTCAGCGCTTTCAATAAACGTTGCGATTGCGTCTCTCCAAAGTTCTTTTGGTTCGGAGGAAGGTGATGTGTGCTGTTCCTTACGGATGTCCTTTGTCCTTTGTCCTTTCTTTTTGTAAAAAAATATCTGTGTCCCTTCGATAAGTTTGTGCAGTACCGGTACGGTTTTATTATTATTTTTTTTTAACTCGCCGACCGACACTCGAGTTCATGAAACATTCCTTCGCTTCACATCTAACGATTTTCATAACTTAGAAAATTTTTTTTTTCAAACATTTCACGGAGGTGAAATTCGAGGAAACTCAGTCGGACGAGAAGGAAATTTGCTCATCGCTGCCCCAAATTCATTCATTCGTGGCCCTCCAGAACCCGATAAGGCGAAAACGCAGGCGGAAGAATGCACTTCTTTTTCACTTTTTACGGTAATTTTTTTTTAAATTTTTATTGATTTTATTTTAAATTCTTTGTTTCTCATGTGACGGCACCAAACCGCGATGCGATCACGTCGTCCACGAAATCAAGGAAATCTTTATTACCTGTCGCTGCGTTATTTCGCGCGGAGTTTTCTTCCCTACAAAGACCCAATCATACTCATTTCCTCTTCTTGCGATTTTGATGACGTCATCCGACGGCAATGTCACGGATTCCCAGACAGTATTGGTCGGAATCAGGGTGAAAGATTCCTCGGTTTTCTTTCCTTGGTCCAAGTGCAGCTGCAATTCAAGTCCTTTATTTTTTTCTTAAACCTTACAGTTGGGGCGGGACTTCTGACTTTTGGAATTTGCATCTTTAGGGTCTAGTCATTGTGGACGGTTGAATGAGACGAATTTGTTTTTTTTTTTTTTTAAATGTTATTTATCCTTTCAATACGGGTATCAAAAAGCAAGAGCCATGTGTGCGCATAATTCCATGCCGTCTCACTGATGAAGAGGCGTAATTTGGCTGAAGGGGGGGGGGGGCTGCCCCCCCTGCCCCCCTGTAAAATATGCGACTGAACCGAACTGATGCAAAAAATGAATGAGATTCTCCTTGTGAAGCGTTGAAGGCATATCACAAGCTTTAATTCTCATAACCACTTCTCGAACAAAGGAAGTGTGCCGTAATTGATGTTTCATTTTTTTGTTGTCAGAAATGGCCTTCAGATGTTCTTTCTTTCCTGAAATACCCTTTCAATTTTTTTTTATTATGACTGATTACGGCGAATGCGTTTATTTTGACACCAGTCCCTCACCGATCAGTAGTTTTTCATGTAAGAACTGCTGCTGAGCTGCCGATGAGTAACGCTTGTGAGTAATGATGAGTGACGCTGAAGAAAAGGAATTACGCTTGAAAGTAATTTTGCAAGCAAGTCGGCCAGAAGAAAGCAAGTTATTCCATCTTGTTTTGCTGTTGGAGGCTGTCTTCCGCCATAGTTGCGACAGTTTGTTGTGGCACCGCAGGAAAGGCTTGAAGACTCATGCAGTCATGACTCATGCAGTCATGACTCACATAGCGGCAAGCCTGGTTTTCCCAGAACGGTGCGAGCCCGTGTTCCTCGAAGAGCAGAAAGCAGTCATTGCTTAGAGCAACGCGGTTTTTCATCGCAGCAGCGGATAATTATTGTAGACGGTTACATCGAAAAAGAAACCTTACAAAATTCGCAGTAAGAATTTCGCGGAAAGTACCAAACTGGGGTCGACATGCGACCGCGAATGGAGAACAGCTCCGCGTTGGTCGACACGTCGATCGTCTCGAAAGTCTTGGGTTTCCAGGACGACACGCCAAGAATTTCGAAGGGTTTAAGAACGACGGTCTCTAAAATCAAATTTGAAGTTTTCTCATCCTGCATGAGTCTTAAGGCTGTTTCTTTTTTTTTGCGGTACCACAACGAATTATCGCAGCTATTGCGAAAGACGGCCTCCAACGTGAAACAAGATGGAAAAACTTCCTTCCTCTCGATCTCAGGTGATGCCTTTTTTCCCTGAGACATGCGAAAGCATTTTTCCTTTCCAGTCATAGGGCGACCTTGTCGACCCAGCCGATGAGCACGCAGGCAGTACTGACAATGTTGACAATAAATTGATGAGGCGTGGATTACCGGTGCTTTTCAAAGGCCAAGCTAATGCTAATTAAACCACACCGTACTGCGGAATTTTTGCACCGCAACCGCCATTTTTCTTCTACGCTAATGAATGACCCTCGCCTTTCCTCAATGCGAAGGACGAAGTCTCCACCGCCGACATGAATAAAAGCCCTTCCAACATGAGCGAAACAGCGACAAGTTTGGAACCTGGCGAATGGCTCACTCAATATTTGAATTGCAAGTACAGTGGTACCTCGCATAACGAACGCAATTCGTTCCAGCGGTGCGTTCGTTATGCGAGGTGTTCGCGAGTGAAAGTGTAGCGGGGAATAAATGAATCCTTGAGGGTAGAACGTCGCCCTGTCGGACATGAAATGAAATCTTTATTGTGAATTTATCGTTTTCAGATTATTCGAATTACTTTTGTATCGAACAGTGAAGGAAGATTCAGGATATGCATGCTATGAAAACAGATAAATAACCCTATAATTGCATGATTAATTGAATAGTCTTGCGCAAGTTTTAGAAAGGAATTATTTTTGGGGCGAGAGCGGGAAATCCAAGCAGGACATTCTCGAACTAAATTATCCGCTTGGATTAGCATAGGGACTTTTAAAATCACTAAGCTTCATCGTCCTAATAGACATTTCCTATCCACCTCATTAATATTCGTCTCTAAAACTCATAGACGCAGCATTCTTGTTGATTCCACCAAGCTGGAATTGTTGGGAGCATTGGTTCCTTCGTCTGCTCTTCTAAAGATGAACCACTGCATTGAA